AAAAATCACTAAAGGAGCATTCTCTGGCTCATATATGAGTCTGAAAGGAATTGAACTTGATGGAAGGTCATGAGAGGGAGGGGTTTCATCATTAGAAACCACGCGTCTCCTGACGCGTGACCTTCTCACCAAAGATCCTTCTTCTATCTCATCTTCATCATCAGAGCCACGAGCTACGTCAGTTTTCCTTTTGGAGGAAGGAACACTCAAAATCTGCTCCTAGGCAAGACTCATGGAAATCCTAGTTGATGGAACAGACGCGAGATTAATGCCACGAATAGCAAACCCTAATAAATAAAAAAGGGCGGATGAGAGATTTTCATATAAACAAGTAAGAGAAGAAGGGGGATTATGAAGGAAAAAGAGGACCGTGCGTTTTCACTTTCCAGCCAAATTTTTGAGAAAGGAATTTCCAAGATCTTTTGTCCATAGGGTCAACAGTTAACATCTTTTTCTACCCAAGCACGGAAGTCGGGAATCTCATCAAAGACTTCCATGGTTGCTGAAACATGGGTGTGATTACATGAAATAATTCGAGATATATAAAATATAAAAAAAAAACTTATGTGCAAAGTTCCATTTTTCTGGGAAAGGCATGTTTTCTTCACCCACTAATCCACTATTGGAGGCAGCAACAAACCAGGCGTACCAGCCACAGTCTCGATCTTCCTTGGGGCTAATCAACACTCTTTTACTTCTAGCCATGAGAGAAAAACTCCTTCACGAAACAACTTGGGGGAATAAAGATGAAGAAAGTGCCGAAAGGTAAAAGGAACGGAAACCAAATCTGACAAATAACGAAGGCATGCAACAACCCTCCACACGATGGGGCCAATCTGGTCAAGACACACGTTGAAGTAACGGAAAAATTCAATGATTACTGGATCAATAAGGAGCTTAAACCCTAAAGTAAAAGGGTAGGTATAAACAAAAGAGAAACCGGCCTTGTAAGAGGTGATTCTTTGGTTAGCACCAGGAACTAAAACCGGAAAATCTGGTTTCCAATGACACTCTCGTCGAACTAAGGAAAGAAGACCGGTGGTAATTAAACTCGGGTACAATTCAGGGTACACTCATGACAATTGAGGGAAACTATAGAAGAGATTTGATTTCTCATGGTCTCACGGTCTGTTACAAAAGAAAACTCTTGAGGAACAATCTCTGCAACTGTAGGTTCACCCACACGTTCATTTAAATCCCTATTTTTAGAAGAAGATCTAGGGGTTAGAGGAGCCCTAGGTGTAGAAGAAGATGGCTTAGAAGACCCACTCTAAGAAGAGGAACCGCGATTAGATAATGAACTGATACTACGAAGTCTACCACCTCTCATACTTCTCGTAGGGGCATTAGAAGGAGCAAGTTTGTCAACAATCACAACTTTGCTAGGATCTGGCGTTGACGAAGACATGATTACCAAAGAAAATACAGAAGAAATGATGCATAAATACAAAGAGGGAGTAAAGTAATGGATACTGAAGAAGGAAGACTCAAGAAATAAAAAAAGAATGAAGTATTTATAAGAAGATACAACCATCGTTAAAATTGGTCATTATGAAGCGTCATAATGGAACTGTCACTTTGTGACTGGCGCAGCCGCGGAAAAACCCTAAAAAAGCGCCGAGGAACTGCAGATCCAATCGTAAGAAGCCACGTGGCACGTGCATTAAATAGATGTGACATACGTCGCATCAATTATGAAGGAGACATGAGGATACTCGAGAAACAGCGGCAAGGAATTTCCGCCATAAAAACTTACCACTTCCCGAATATTCAATTGAGAATATTCAAAAAGTGGGGGGACTATCTATATTAGTGGGAAAAAAATACGACACGTGGAACATTAGTAAGCTGACGAGGCATGACACGTGGAGCGTCGGTATAGCGACAAGTGACACTCTCAATTAACTGAATTAAGAATGCAAGGAAGGTACGGGAGAAACACCCACATGGCAGCATAGAGAAAAGAAACGGACCTGGCAGCTGTCAAAGGAGAAGTGGGAACGAAATGAATGAAGGCTACAAAGAAGGGAAGATACACGACCAGAAGTAAATAAGGAAGGGGAATTAGAGCAGTTACAAGGAATCTTTAGTTATAAATATGCCAATTACGGTTGTCTATGGTAATGGGCAATCAATACAATTAATGTCTCTAATAAGCCCAAATTAAGTGTGAGAACGGTTATGATTATATGCTCATATATAAGGATAAGAATCTCATTTGTAAGGACAAGTTACGATTATTACTGAAATACATACTATAATTCTTTGCTTTACTCTTCAAGTTTTAAGCCTTGATTTTGGGGAGTAATTGTCAGTTCATTCCTTATTGTTCTTTGCTAATTATATCCATTATTTTTTCTAGTCTTCTTAAAATTATTGGAAAAGTGAAGTAAATCTTGGTTATCAGTAATTCGTTTTCTTCTAAATATTGATTTTGACCGAGAAATCTATTTTTGATTAAACAATTGTGTCAAAACTTGTTCTCTACAGATCGACTACATACACAGTGGAAGACAAATTTTTCAAATAAAGGTTGTGGCATTTTGGTCCGACGGCAATAGGACCAAATTGAAGCGTAACAGTTTTCAGATCGAATATAACTAAATAATAATTTCCTCTAATTTAAAAAAACTCTCACTCATTTTAATGCACTATACATATGATAAATCTTATAGGGTAGAAGAACCTTTTTTATGGGGCTTTACAATGCTCAACAACTATGTTACGTTTAACAGTTTGTTTGGATGGCTGTTATCTGTTGTATTAATCGTATTGTTAATTTAAATATAATATTTATTTTAATTATTACTTAGATTTTATTATATCGTATCGTTTAAATTCGTCGTTATGTAATGACGAAAAATGCACTTTATGGAACGACCGATCTTGTGGTCGCGTCGTTTTCTTATTTTTTTCCTCTTATCTTGCCTTTTTTTTTATTAAATAATCTTATTTTATCCTTTACCTTACATTTTTATATAATATTACCTCGTACCTTACTTTTTCTTTATAATATTGTAAGTTTATTTTTTATATTGTTGATGCATGAAATCATGAAACGACGACAAATAATATAATCTATCCAAATACTATATACATTAAAATAATACAGTACAATACAATACTAAACGCTACATTATAAAACAAACATATAACAACCATCCAAACAAGCTATTAAGTGAATTAAAAAAGCCAAATACATAGACAACCCATTAAACTTAACCTAATTTTTTATTTTGGCACTCTAACTTAACTTTGTTCCATTTTGGTTCTCCAACTCTATTTCTTATGTTTCATTTTAACACAAAAACTTTTATCCGACGTAAAAATGCAGCGCGTATACATACTTGCTTGGCCAAATACATAGACAACCCATTAAACTTGGCTCCATTTTTTTATTTTGGCACTCTATCTCAACCTTGTTCCATTTTGACCCTCCAACTCTATTTCTTATGTTCATTTTGTCACTCTATCTCAACCTTGTTCCATTACGGGTTCGAAAGTTCGCGATTTCGAAAGTTTAGCGGTTCGGAAGTTTATGAAATTTGTGGGTATTTCAGGATATGCATGCACACACGTTTCAAAAAATATAAAATTTATTTCAAAATATTTTATTTTTAATTTTATTTTTACGAAACCGACCAACTTCGGTCGTTTTTTTGGGCACAAAAATACAGGAAACTCTTTTAGTGTCCCACAAAATTTATTTTTTAAGAAATCGACTGAAATCGGTTGGTTTTCATATAAAGAGTAAATGGGGAAGGAAATAATGAAGATGCAATATGGGGGAAGAGAGTTGGGGGATTAAAAATGGGACCAACAGTTATTTTATTACTGTTGGAGAAGGAATTTTGTCATAAACAATCTGCCTCACGCGCCTACCATGTGAGCCAATTCACACTATGTGACTAGTCAGCTTTCGTGTTAAAATGAAACATAAGAAATAGAGTTGGAGGGCCAAAATGGAACAAGATTGAGATAGAGTGCCAAAATAAAAAATGAAGTCAAGTTCAATGGACTATATATGTATTTGGCCTTTATGTTATTACCGTTGAAGAAGAAAATTTGTCCAAAAACATCTCCCTCACGCGCTTTCAAAATTGAGTTAGAATGCCAAAATAAAAAATTGGGCCAAATTTAATTGACCGTCTATATATTTGGCCATTAAAAAAAGTACATACGTTCAGCATGTCATAATTTCTACTAGCAAATTGCAATCGTCATGGCATGCAAGACGTAGCAACTTGATATCAGAAGATTTTAATCTAGAACGTGATATTACTGACTTCAATCACCTTCCTACAGTATTATTAGGTAAAGAGTTATCATCTTACCGTGTGAACAACACACACAAAAAAAGAGATAATTGTAATAAAAAATTATAAAGATGATGTTATAAAACATAAAGAAACCTGAAATATAATGCCGGCAGCGTGAAGGATGTGATATCAAATATCAAATGAAAAGGGTGTCAGTCCAGTCACAATGTCACATACAACAATATCGATACCCATAAACGGATTCAAAATTTAAATTTTATAAGTTCAACTTTTATTTTTATCATTGATTATATTATATTTTTAAAATTATAAATTTATAAATATTATTTATTGCAATTTAATAAATTTAAAAATAAAATTCATAAAAATTACAGATTTAATTGAACTGATATAAGAAGGCTAGATCCGTCTATGTCAATATCATCCCTTGCATTGAAATGCTACAAATATTTCTCTGAAAAGGAAAAGTTTGATAACCGTCCGAGAGAATCCTAGAAGAGCTGGGGATAATTTCGTCATTTAATTGTTTATCCGAGGTCATTTCCGGAAATCTGGCCGAACCGTTAGCTTTAAGTAGATCTCCGTTAGATAACCGATCAGTCATAATGGAGTCCACCGTAGTTTTTAAATCAAATAATTGTCTTATCATAACTTCCCAATTTTTCTTTTAAAAACTCCATAAATAATTTGGTATTCTTTTCATTGTAATGTAATTGCAATAATAATGCATTTATCAAAAAAGCGGTAGTGGTATTTGGTATTTTGTTGGAGCTGTATAAATAAATTATCATACCACAATGGATGTCGTTGGATTTTCCACAGAACCAAACAAGACTCCATTTTTCTTTTAGAAGAAAGATAACACATCCTCTTTTCTCTTCCTTCCTCTTCACTGTGTAGAATTCCAGAAACATTGTTAAGAGAAAAGCCACTGAATAGTGTGAGTAAATTTTCTTTCCTTAAGTGGAGCTTGATGTTTTAATAGTGGAATTTTTTTCTTTTTTTTTTTCTTTTTTCCTTTTTTAGGTTCATTTTCCTTTTTTTGAGTGTTTTTTCCGTGTTTTCAAAACAGTTGTTTTCAAGATAGGAAAAGACGGCGAAAAATAAGCTTTCCTTTTGCATGGCTGCATATGGCCAAAGGTTTGAAATTATAGTCATCGTTGATTGGCGCTTTCTAGAAACTTGTAGAAAGAAAGAAAATTGAATTACGGTTTTTGTTTTTCTTAATCTGGGGATTGATTTCATAAAAGCGAAATTCGTCTTTGGTTTTTGCTTTGAAAAATACAAAACAAAGAAAAGGCGAGTCGAGCCTGATTTTTGTGGCCGTTTTCTTTTTCTTTCAAAAATTTCAGAAAATTAGTGAAAATGGGATCGTCAGGAAAGTCGAATGACGAGATTGTGGAAGAAATCATGCGAATTCATCGATGTCTACCGACAAGGCCATCGATTGAAGAAGTTGAAGCTGCAAAAGCGTTAATTGGGAACCTGGAGAAAGAAGATCAGTTAAAATTAGATGCAATTACGAGGCAAAATAAAAGGAAAGATGTCCCAGAAGAGCTGTTTAGAATTTTGCAAGAGATGCAGAGGAATTTTGTTCATTTCCAGAGCAAAGAGCAGAAATGGGAGGCTTTGAAACTTTTAGATCTCGAGAATGTTCACTCTCTATTCGACGATTTGATTCAGAGAGCTTCCAAATGTTTGCCATCTAAATCTCAGGCTAATGATAACTCAGCTTCCTTCTCCGGCAGCAGCAGCTTAAGTTCTCCGACAACTACAGCAACTGCGACTGCAATTACTTCTTCGTCGAGCTTTTATAACGCGAAAGAGCCTGTTAAAGTGTCTGAAATGCTTAGTAGAGATGATAGTTACTTGAATAAGGCAAAGGCCACGTTTCTTGTGGATGGAATTGGTGTTGGGCTTCGATCTGGGGATGCTTTATTAGGGCCCAAAATTGTTGATTCCACTTTAAAGGCAGCAACTACTAGTGGTATGTTACATCTATTTGCTGTACCATATTTGGTTATGCACTTTATTTTCTAGAATTTGATTATGTAGATTATCGTTTTGTTGTGTTGGGTCAATATTCTTGTTTTGATCAAGAAGATGCTGGATATTTTGTTTGTAGGTCAAGATGGTGAGAAATTAAGTTTGATTAAGCTTGCTAGTATGATTGAAGTGTCATCTAAAAAAGGAAGTCGAGAGCTTATCCTCAAGAATAAGTTGTCGGACCAGGTGGAATGGCTTCCAGATTCTATAGGGAAGCTATCAAGTTTGATTACTTTGGATTTGTCTGAGAATCGAATTACTGTCCTGCCTACCACTATAGGGGGGCTTTTGTCATTGCAGAAGCTAGATTTGCATTCAAACAGAATCGTTGAACTGCCTGATTCCATTGGAGATCTGCTTAACTTGGTCTATCTTGATCTCAGTGCAAATAACTTGAAGTTGTTGCCAGCGAGTTTTGCGAGGTTAGCTCACCTTCAAGAACTTGATCTGAGCTCTAACATGCTATCAGTACTCCCTGAGACAGTTGGCTCCTTAGTAAGTCTTAAGAAATTGATTGTGGAAACTAATGACCTTGAGGAACTTCCTCACACTATTGGTCAATGTACTTCGCTCAAGGAGCTTCGTGCTGACTATAACCGGCTTAAAGCTCTTCCTGAAGCAGTGGGACGAATTGAGTCTTTGGAGATTCTGTCTGCGCGTTACAATAACATCAGGCAATTGCCTACGACTATGTCATCCCTTACAAGTTTGAAAGAGCTCAATGTTAGTTTCAATGAAATTGAAGCCATCCCTGAGAGCTTGTGTTTTGCTACTACGCTGGTCAAGCTGAACATTAGCAACAATTTTGCAGACCTGCGGTCACTACCAAGGTCCATTGGGAACCTTGAGTTGCTAGAAGAATTGGACATGAGTAACAACCAGATTAGAATGCTTCCAGACTCATTTAGGATGCTCTCAAGTTTGCGGGTCCTTAAAACCGAGGGAAATCCTTTGGAAGTGCCACCAGGAAACATCGCTGAGAAGGGAGCACAGGTTTGTTTCCATTTTACTATGGTGGTGCTTTCTGATTTTTTTATCCTAGTTCTTTTTTCCTAGCTCTTGTTGTTTTTAGATGATTGGATTACTTAATTATGCTTTGTTGCTGTGCTCTGCAGGCTGTTGTTCAGTATATGGCTAATCTGGTAGCAAATAGGGATGTGAAGGCACAGCCGGTGAAGAAGAAGAAATCCTGGGCTCAGATATGCTGCTTTTCAAGATCCAACAAACGTCAGCGCAATAGTGTGGACTATGTTAATGCCTGATGTGCTGCAGCTTGGATACAAATGTTTGAACACACTATACATATGGTATGCTATTTCTCGTTCTTACCAAGTTTGTTGTTATGGTTTCTTAACTAGATTTCAACGCTCTTGAACTGACCAAGCAGCTTCCAAGAGGTGATGATTCTTAGCTCGTGTATAGGCACTGATTACTGATATATTTTTTAATAAGTTAATTATTGTCCTCTGCTATTCTTATCTGTTCATTTTCTCAGTTAATAAATTGAAATGGTGCCCTATACATGCTGGTTTGCGTTATTAAATTGAAATGGTGCACTGTACATGCTGGTTTGCGTTAATTACAATAATGAAATGTAGGGTCTAAAGGGTACGCCTCACATGCTTTGTTATCTGTTGTAGGAAAATGAGCTGTGATTGGGCTGGGAGAGTCAGCTGCCATTTTGGTTGAATTCAACCATTTTTTGCCAGCAAATCAAGCCATTTTGTTGTTCCAGATCTGGCATTAATCCTTGCCACGTGTTCCCTCTTTTCATTTTTCCTCATTTTGTTTCATTCCATGTAATTCTTTACTCCTCTGTGTTGTTATTCAGCTGTAACTTTTCCTCTTGATAATGTAAAATGAGATGTAAAATCTATATTACACGGAAAACGAAGTCGAAATTTCTCGTGTTTGAATTCCCTCGGAAGTAAATTAATCATTGAGTTTACTGAGTTTCATCATTTCTGATTTGATGGAATATATTTTTATTTTTTGCCTCCTTTCTGGTATTGGGAAGTCAGCCTAATATATTTCCATTATCCACTTGGGTTCTAGAACGATGCATTTGTTTAGAATCTCATTATATTTTGTAGAGGAATGTTGCTAAGGTCAAATGAGGGATGCTTAGAAACGTAGTCTTGTCAATAAATTTTTGAGGGCGGCCACGACATTGTGTACCAAATACATTTGACCTATTGGCTAGATTTCTATACTATATCCAATTGGATTTATGACTATTCTCGTACATGTAAAGTATACTTATATACACATAAATATGCCGAAATGCAGCCATTTCTTTACTGGTTGCATTATTATTCTCACTGAGTCATCATTACTATATTATAGTATCATTATTTCTCGAGACGAATGCCCTATAAAAGGTAGTTGACCTTACTTTTATTAAGCGGAAAGGACTCTTTATTTGAATCAAATTATGTGTGTACGTTACGCTGCAAGACTGCCGGTTACTTTTGTGATTAAATTCAAATGGTAAAGGGTGAATTTCCCAATATTAGCATTTTAGGTTCGGGAAGATGGCATAATTTTTGGTCATAGTCCCCAGGATCAAATAGGTCTACTTTTGTTAAAGCTGGAAATAGATGTGACAATGATGGGTGACTACTTTATTACTATAATTTGTTCAGTAAATATCATAATATTGGTTTAATCGTTTAAAGTAGTCCAATATGGTAATACTTCCCAAATTTGTAGGTCCGTTAGAGTGAGCAAACCAAAATATGATTCATTGAGCTACTCGCAAAACTTCGATGATGGGCAGTGGCAGCTAGAGGAATTGGATTTTTGTAGAAGTGGATCTTACATCCGTAGATATGGGTAGCCAAACAGCTCAGATTTCCATTACTTTGTATAGCTAAAGCAAAAGTCTGTTGTACACTTGTGTTCTAATTAAGTTTATATACTTGGTCATATTTTCAAGTCTCCCTCGAGAGGTGTGTTGATTGTTTATTAAACTTATATATCAGACAGATTTCAAATTAAATTTCAATTCGATTAAGAATATATATACCCTTTTCATTTCATTGTTTGATCGCCTACGTTATGAATGTTTTGTTAATTTCTCTCTTCTATCCTTACACAAACAATTATCTGAATAAAAGTTAAATTTACGTAGGATTGTCTTAATCAGCAAGTAACCTCATGTTTGAACGAATTGGACCACTTTTCTCGCTAAACAAACATCTGTTAAAAATGAGATGTAAGAATTTCTTGAAGAATGATAAAGCATTTAGACGTACCCTGTCATATGCTAATAGAGGCGGAGCCTGAAATTCACATATAAGAGCCCAATATCTGAACTTATATATGATCTTAAATTGTTTGACCCTCATTTGTCATTAAACTAGAACATTTTGTTACGTTAAGGGCATTCAATAATTTATTTAATAAAAATTATTTTGCTATTTACGAAATATTTTTCGGTGAAGGATATTCGATTACCTAGCTTATATGTTCTGATAGTTGAACATATGACCCAAGTTACTTGTTACCTACTTCTTCTTTTTATTGTGGCTAATGAAAGAAAGATAGAATGAAATTGTGAAAATTTTCTCTGATTGTATTCATTGTATTCATTGTTCAGATGCCTCTTTATATAAGTAATTTCTGTAACTAAATAAATGTAAAAGAATATTCCTATATACTTGTACTATTTCTATTGCCTACTTGTATAACCTCCTAACAAATTTTATTCTTTTCTATGTATATACATGTGCTCATCACATGTAGGAAGCGAAGCTTCTTCTTATTTGCTAGCTCGGCTTTTTTCTTATAAATCAAACGGCTGAGATTTATTCTTCAATGATAGATCCTTAGCTGTGTGATGTTAGCACGTGTAGATGAAATGTCTACACATTCAGACACATAAGAATGAGAACATCGTAGTGTCAGAAACCCATAACTCAAACTCGAACCTTGACCTTTCTCTTTTCTCTCAAGGACTGCCTCTTCCTCATCCTTCTTCTGCAAATTGATACTTGGATTTTTATCTTCAACATCCCCTCTCAAGTTGGAGGGGAGAGAATGGACCCCCAACTTGTTCAAAATATGCCGGTGTGAAGCCCCAGATAAGGGTTTAGTGAACATATCTGCATGTTGATGCTCCGATGGAAGGAATGAGAGAGTGATTAGCCCAGAAAGAAATCGCTCACAGACGAAATGATAGTCCAGCTCGACGTGCTTAGTCCGTTCATGGAAGATGGGATTTTGAGCAATATGAATGGCGGCTTGGCTATCGGAATGAACATGCACCGGTAAGGTAGGGGTGCTGATAGATCGGCAAGAAATCAGACTAACCAAGTTATTTCTACAGTCACTCTCCTCATAGATCTGTATTCCGCTTCTGCAGAGGATAGAGAAATTGAGATTTGTTTCTTCGATTTCAAAGAGATTGGAGCTCCACCAAGAGTGATGAAGAAGCCGCTCACTATACAACGGGAATCTCTGCACGCCGCCCAATCGGCATTACAAAATGTAATCAAATTGAAAGAAGGATCTGCAGATAAGAAAATTCCTTGGGAAGGGTCTGTCCTAAGATATCTCAAGACACACAAGACAACTGAATAATATGATAGACATGGCTTTTGCATGTACTGGCTTAAACACAAGACAACAAAACAAAGATCTAGTTTTGTGTTGGTCAAGTAGTTTAATTTACTAACTAAATATCGATAAATAGTTGGATCCTCCTGTGGTGGCCCTTGGTTTGCCTGCAATGTGGAGTATGGATTAAGAGGAGAAGACATTGCTGCTCCTGAGCAATCAAATTCCTGCAACAAGTGTAAGATAATTTGTCTCTGATTGATGATGAAGCCCTGCTTTCCCCTTAAAATTTCCATGCCCCAAAAAAACTGTATATCTCCTAAATGCTTGACTTTGAATTCTATGTTCAGAAAACTGCAAATATGATCAATTTTCTTTGTGTCATTACTTGTAAGTAGTATGTCATCTACATAAACAACTAAAATGAAAATTAGCCCAACTTTCTGTTGGTAGAACATGGAGTAGTCATTGAGAGAACTAAAGTACCCTTTGAAACTTAGAGCTCCAGCAAGCCTAGAATACCACTGTCTTTATGCCTGCTTCAAACAATAGAAAGACTTTCTTAATAGGTAGATTTTATTAGTCTTAGGGGGAAGAAACCCCGCAGGAAATCTCATGTATGCTTCTTCCTTTAAGTCCCCATGTAAGAATGCATTGTTAATATCTAGCTGAGACACTTTCCAGCCTTTCTTTACAGCCACTGTTAAAAGGCATCAGATGGTAGTCATTTTTACTACTGGTGAAAATATTTCAAAATAATCTATGTCTTCCCTTTGAATGTCTCCCCTCACTACCAACTTTGCTTTTAATCTCTTCAGTATTCCATCTGATTTGTGCTTTACCTTATATACCTATTTACAAGGTAATACTCTTTTTCCTGTGGCAAGTCCACTATATCCTAAGTGTGATTAAGTTCAAGTGCAACAATTTCTGCATCCATAGCTTTCCTCCATCCCGGATGTGCAGATGCTTGAGCATAATTGTTGGGTTCTGAAATAGTAGACAATGACTGAATGACCTTTTGGTTGTTGAGTAAAAGAGCACAAAAAAAAAAACACTAGGCTTGGAGGGTTGAATGAAGCAAGAAGAAGTGAGATCAGAGAGAATGATAGTATTGCATACATAATCATTTAGATATGTAGGATTCTGAGTAATCCTTTCAGACTTCCTGGTTGGAGGAGGTGGAATGGGAATAGAGCTCCCAGGCAAACTTGGAACTGGAGTGTACTGTCCATCAGTAGAAAATGAAATAGGACTAAAGTTTGAATAGGGGGATGAATTGGTTCTAGAAACTGTGATAGGAGTGGTAGGTGAGTCTGAGTGGCAGTACTAGGTGACTGGGTGAGATCAATGGGTGAACTTGTTGTAGGGACAACATGCAGTAACTTTTCTGGTGAAACTGCTTGGTCAATTGGTAAAGGATAGAAAGGAAGTTCAGATGGTAAGTCTGATGTGGTGAAAGGATAATAATGCTCATAAAACTTTACATATCCGAAAACAAAAACTTTCTTATTGTCCATGTCCAAAACTTTATATCCCCTTTGATTGTAAGCATATCCCAAAAACACATAACTCTTAGCTCTTGGTTCAAACTTTCCTCTATTGTGAGCTAGAGTGGAAGCATAACATAAGAATCCAAAGGATCTTAAACAATCATAGTTAGGTGGCTTCTCAAATAGTACCTCATATGGTGTTTTCCCTTTCAGAACTTTTTAAGGAAACCTATTTATTAGATAGGTGGCAGTCAAGACACATTCTTCCCAATATTGGATAGGAACTCTTGATTGAAACAATAAACCCATGACAATCTCCAAAAGATGCCTATGTTTCCTCTCCACAACCCAATTTTATTGTGGAGTAGCAACACAAGGTGTTTTAAGCAATATACCCTGTGAATGCAAAAAATATAAATTCTTGTGTCCCCTTCCCCAATTCCAAAGTATTATTAGATCTTAGCTTCTTGACCTTCTTGTTAAGCTGTCTCTCCACCACAATAAGAAAGGACTTCAAAACTGAGAATGCATTACTTTTTGTACTTAACAAGAAAGTCCAGGTTGCTCTACTGAAATCATCAACTATGGTTAAAAAATATTTGTAACCATTATATGTGCTGGTCTTAAAAGGCCCCCAAGTGTTTATGTGAATATGATCAAATATGCTTGAAGATCTGATTTTACTAATTGGGAAATGAAGCCTAGTTTTCCTGGCTTGAGGACAGACATCACACACATAATCTAAACTTGAAGGGAAATGAATGAAACTGAGATTTTTCATTACTGCAAAGGGAAAGTGCCCCAATCTTACATGCCATTCTCTTACATTAGATGTAGCATTAACAAACACAAGTGCTGAGAAAGAAACACTAGTAGAAGGCAGACTGGAATTGCTTCCTTTTGGAATTGAAACTA